TATTTAATAATTTTATAATTCAACTTTATAATTCAACATAAAATTCACCCATTTAATCTGTGTAATTCATTGTTTTTTTTATATGTTCATATATAAGTGCTACCACTACCACAATCAATTTTAGAACATTTTCATCACCTCAACAAAAAGTTCCATATGCTTATATCTTCATCTAATGTCCCATTTGCCTTAACTATCACCTTCAATCTTTCCATTCTCTCCCCAGTCCTAAGTAACCACTAATATACTTTCTATTCCTTCAGCATTCCCTAGTCTAAACTTTCATATGAATGGAATCATAACATGTGTCCTTTTGTGGATGGTTTATTTGATTTAACAGAATGTTTTCAAGGTTCATCCATGTCATAGAATGGACTGGCATTTCATCCTTCCTTAAGGCCAAATAATACTCATTAGGGAGCACAGTGGCTCCTTACGATAAGCATTGGACTGGAAACTACAAGGTTGGCAGTTCAAGCCTACCATCAGCTCCATGGGAGAAAGATGAGGCTTTCTGCTCCTGCAAAGGCTTAAAGCCTCAGAAGCCTTATACAGGGTCGTCACTATGAGTTGGAATTGACTGAACAACTCTTAACAACAACAAAAACAAGGAGTTCTGGTGTAGTGCTGCAGGATTAGCACTCAACCACAAGATCCGGTTTGAATTGAAAGGTCAGAAGTTCAAACTCAGCAGTTGCTTTTCAGAAACTCTAATATGGTCACTGTGAGTCGGAACTGACTTGACTGTACTTAACAACAACAACAATTATCCATTTATGGGCATTTAAGTTGTTTCCATTCTTTGAGTATTTTTCCAGAATGTCGATACAAACACTCAGGTATAAGTTTTTGTGTGGACATAGGCTTTCATTTCTACTGGGTAGTTACTTAGGAGTAGAATTCCTAGATCAGATGATAACTCTTTGTTTAATCATGTGAAGAATTGCCATACTGCTTTGTCCAAAACTTATAATATTTCCATGACTTGTGAGCTGTAGTCTGTACTAGTTGGCAGTGGGAAGTTTCTTTTGAATAAGGTTTAGTATGGCTTCATGATTTGTACTGCTGAGCTGTGTCTACTCTGGAAGCGAGCCAAGAACTGCAGTTACCTGTCTGCCTGAGACCCTAAGAGGGTCTCATCCGTTTGCCTGATGCCCTAGTTGCACTAGCTGGCTATCATATACAGCATTCTCTCCCATTTATGTCAGGGTCCAATAAATCCATGAGCTTTACCATGTCCAAGGGCAACGACGCCATGTTCCTGCCCCTTCCCCACTTCCCCCCCCCCCCCCACACACACACACACCTTTACAGCTCTTGGAATATCACATTCAACACTGCAGTCAGGCACTCGGTGCAAATGCCTTTTAACTTACAACATGACTACATTAATTTCCTGGGATTGTCACCACCAAGCATCACAAACTGAGTGGCTTATAAGAACAGAAATGTAGTTATCTTACATCTTTAGCGGCTGGGAGTCAAAATTCAGAGTGTCTGCTATGTTGATTCCTGCTGGAGGCTCTGAGAGAGAATTCATTCTGTGTCTCTTTCCTGGTTTCCGATGGCACCCAGCAATCCTTGGCAATCCTTGGCTTACAGCTATGACTGCCATTGACTTCACATGACCAGTTTCCTTTATTTATGTATCTGTCTCCGTGTCTTTTCTCATTTATAAGGACACTAGTCATATTGCATTAGAACTCAGTCTACTCTAGTATGATCTCATGTCAACTGATAACGTCTTCAATGATTCTGTATCTATACAAGTTCAAGTTTGCAGGTACCAGGGGTTAGGACTTCAGCATATCTTGTAGGAACACAGTTAAACCCATAACACTGAATGAATTGAATATCAAGGTTCTAGAGAGGGGCACAGCCACTGTGGGCTGGCTACCTAGCTATAGTACAACTTGTATCTCTCCTCCATCAGTCCTTTGTTCCCACTGAGATCAAAGTATTTTGATTGATTTTTTTCTTCTTCCTCAGCTTCCCAGGACAACATTGAGTGTCTCCACACTCATGCATTGTTTGGCTAACTCATGTATCATTAAATCTAGTTAGTTGTGCCTTCTCCATAATCAATGCCCTTTTACTCTGGTTCACATATCCCAGCTGGCTCCATGGCAGTGGTAAAAATGACATTCTTTTCCCAAGGAACCATTGAATCTATGAAGCAAACAGAAAGTAATGTTTCCTTGAATATAAGTGGTTTCTTTTTTAAACACTGTAATGTGTTCCAAAGGCAAGAGCAATCAATAAATCATTTTTGGCTTAGAATATGAATTTAATATGTAATTGTAAAATTTATTTTTATGACCTTTCCCTACTGTCTCAATATATAGTCCCTAAATATGCACAATTTTCTGCATTTTCATTGATCATATGTCTAGAAATAATATTACTGCTTTCTTACATTATTATAAAAGGGACAAGATTAATTGGATGCTTCCAAATCCTTATGCTATATCACCCCCTTTAAACCTGAAAAAAGACATCTCCTGTCTTCTCTTGGATCAAAACTAATTTTTCCCCTTTGCAATCATTATGTAGCTGATAAAAGAGTTATTTTAGATGGAGATAGGATTTGGAAACCTAAACCATTTTGTGAAAAAATTAAAGATTCCTAGTGATGCTGTTGTTAGTTGCAGTTGTGTTGGCTCTGATTCCTAGGGATCTTCTGTCTCACAGTGAAATGTCGACTAGTCTTACACCATTTCGATCACTGTTGGTATGTTTGAGTCCTTGTGTGGTTATTGTGTCAATTCATCTCACTGAGGATTTCCTTGTTTTCTCTGACCATTTGCTTTGCTAAACATGATGTTCTTTTCTAGTAAGTGCTCTTTCTTGATGACATGTCCAAAGTAAAGTGAGCAGAAATTTCACCATCCTCACTTCTAAGGAACTTTCTGATTGTATGTCTTTTAAGACAGACTTGTTCATTCTTCTGGAAGTCCATGGTACATTCAATATTCTTTGTCAACACCACAATTCGAAAGCATTAATTCTCCATCTGCCTTCCATTTTCATTGTCCACCTTTAACATCATCTGAGTTGATTAAAAAGACAATGGTTTGGGCCAGGCACATTTTATTCATCAAAGTGACATCTTTGCTTATGCACTATTGGTATTAAAACATTTATTGCTGTTAGTAGAAGAGGAAAAGACCTTTGAAAGCCATTTGTATTTTGGGTTTTCTAAATACATGCCCTCCAGTCCACATTCATGTAATCCCACTAATTGAAACTTCTTTTAAAAACATCAAGTTGAGCTCCAGGCAACTCCTAGCCCTCTTAGTGCCCCTTTGTTACTGAGTGCATTACGGAACTTGGCCAACTGCTAACCACATAATAAAAATAAATAAATAAACTCCAATAGAAAGTGCAACCGAGATCAAAGTATGAATGGGCTTCCAGATGCCGTAAGAAAGTGTTCCTCTTGTTATCCTGAACATCTGGGCTCCCATGGGTTAAAAAATTTAACAAATATTCCCTGACTTTGGCACACTCACAGTCTCTGCTTTTATGAATGTTGCAGCACATCTAGAATAAAGAAAAGCAGTTCACTGATTTAGGTCATCAACCAGTCAGTCCAACAAGGCTTGCAAAACCTCAGCCAATGTTCCTTCCTCCCAGATGGAAGGAGTGATTGGAAGGCTCTAGGCGGAACCTGTTCAATCTCTATAGAAATTGAGCAGAACCCAGTTAAGGATCTGCAAAGGAAATGTTACACAACCAGATGCATCTGAAATAAGGGGTGATGATCATCTATATGTGTATGTGTGTGAGACAGAGAGAAGGAGAGAAAAAGAGGAAGAGAAGAGAAGTATTCGTTAAATTAGTTGAATTAGTTAAATCCTGAGAGAGTTGCTAAGTCTATCTCATTGGAATAAAATATAAGGCTTCTGAAAGTAAAAGTAATTTGGTTATATTAATAATAAAAACAGAATGAAGGAAGAGAGAGAAAAGAGATGTGAGATACAGAGACAGAAAGAGAGACAGGAGAGAGAGGAATAGGGAACAAAGAGACAGGTGAGAGGGGAACAAAACAAGGAAGAGGGAAAGAGATGAAAGAGAAAGAGGAGTGGGGGAAAGAGGGGAGAAGAGAGGAAGCAGGAGAGAACAAGAGAGAAAGAAAGAGAACACAGAATATTAAAGCAAGCAGGAGAAAAACTTTCTTTATTTACCAGGAACCCCACTGCCCACCCTTCTTTGTTAGGGGTATGTTCCAAGCATCTTCCTACAAAGTTACTGAGAGAAGAAGTGAACAGTGAACTCAGACTGCCTGGTGATGACAGGGATAGAGCCCTATCCCCTGTTCCTGCCTATTTAGGGTTTGGTCTCCTGTCTCAAGATGCTCCATCTGTCAGCTACATGTGTTCCTCCACTTCAGGACCTCTGTTCCAGGTGCAAGCCCAGGAGGTATCAAGGCTCTTTCAGTCTAGGTGCCAAGAAAGGTGGGTGCTGTCCCCAATTCTGCCTGGAGTGAATCCAGGGTCTTAAGGTCACTTCATTTATAAATGAAACAGTTGGATATCAACTCTGGCTGCAATTTAGAATCACCGGATGGTCTTTTAAAGCAGTGAAGATACCTGACCGCAGCTCCCAGGGATCCTAATTTATCCACCTCAGTTTTACTCTCCGGGGTACCCTTCATTACTCTCACTGGGGTCCTGTAAGGAAGTAGCCCTGAGTCTGTGGGAAGGAGGCATCAATGTCTGTATTAAAAAGAATTATGCCTTTGATGATTCTGATGTGTGGCTTTCACTGGGCTGGAGGATTTTGTTTCCACGTCTAGGACTAGAGAGTTTTATTTATCTTTTATTATGTGGTTAGAAGTTGGCCAGCGTTCAGTAATGTACTCAGGGAAAATCATCTGTTTTCCAATTTTTTATTGTTGTAGAAATATATATAACACAGTATTTGCCCCATCAACATTTCATTCTGTCTTTACATATATCCTGCTTTCAAGGGTAACTACTTTTTGAATTATTAATTCCTTCTGCCTGTCATGAGAGAATTGCCTGTCTCGTTGAACTAAAATGTATTGATTGTGAAAGTTCAAGTCAAATTGTGTCATTTGGTCACAATAAAGATAAGAAACAGAAGCTCTTATTACAATAAACAAATCTTATCGGCAAAAAAAATATGAAACAAAAACTCAGTTGACTAAGTTGTTTACTCAGAATGGTTGTGAATATCAGCTACCATGAATTCAAGATTTGTAACAATATTTGCATTTTATCCACAGAAGATAGCAGAAAAAGTCACCGTAGTGCTGATATGTTTCAAAACCATATATAAAATGTGGCCTTGAGAAACAGAACACTATGTGCAGAAAATAGGAAATGTTGAGACTGTGTTCTTGAGTTACACTGTTCCTCTCAGGTAGGTGTGGAGTTTAAGCAGCCAGCTAGCAAATAGACCCTGAATTCTGAAGAGGGTCAAAAAACCAACAAAGGGGGGAAAAATTAACAATAACCCTTCTTTTCAGAATTTTACTTTGCAAACTAGGTCTTGGCCTCAGGGTGTTAAACAAAGTCTTGAGCTTGCCACATGGCTGACTGCCTGGCTCTTGCTCATGTCATGTTGCTGTCTGCCTTTCTGTTTTCGATTCAGCGATTGCCTTATGTTTGTGTTTTTCTTGTTACAGATGGGCAGAAGAAAGTTCAAGAGGAATTTGACATCGACATGGATGCGCCAGAGACAGAACGTGCGGCGGTGGCCATTCAATCTCAGTTCAGAAAATTCCAGAAGAAGAAGGCTGGGTCCCAGTCCTAGCGAGAGAGCCCCATCGTAGTGCATCACAAAACCCTGAATGCAACTCTCACTTGTCAAGAAATGAATATAACAACACCCTAGAGAGAAATTATCACACTCAATGCATACACATACACACACAGCAAACGTAAAATGCATGTACAGAAACCCATGATATGTATACCCCAGTAGGAAGATGCAAAACAGTGAGATTGTTGAGTGACTTCATCTCATATTGGTCTTCAGTATCCTTCCTCCTGCAACTAACTATTTCCCCTGATGTTGTAATAAAATGGAATTAAGAAGAATAATTAAAGTGTCTGTCCTTGTCTCGCTCTGTGTATTAATCTAGGAAGTTACTTAGTGTTACAGATGAGTCAAAACCGGATGCCTATTTTCTTTTTCTCCTAAATGTTGGAGCTATAACACAACATCTTCTGTTACGAGCTTTACTGCTGAGAATAAGGGATCCAGGCTCAGCTGTGGCTGTCTCATTTAGAGAATACTAACTGCCAGTTAGTGATGGCAATATATTTTCTTCTTAAGATAGGCCTAAGAGACCTCATTTTCTCCCTCTATCCTGGAGTGCCAACAATTCAAAAGTTTCACTGGAGAAAGTATGACTCATCCAGGAGAACAAAAAGGGGGATGGTGACACATCTGCATTGGGAATGTGCCACCAGATTTACCCAACAGGCATAAATTTCAGAAACCCAAAAGGGATGGTCCACATATTGAGGTTTCATGTGCTAAGTACATACAATACCTGTATTCCTTCTGCAACAGCAGGGCTGCAGAAGCAAGGCCCATTTTCCTGGCTTCTCCACCTCCTCTAGACTGTTTTGTGCTCCTCACACTGTGATCTGATACCTGCTAGATGATTTATCAGACTGGAAATTTGCAGATGCTGCCCAACTTCTTTCCCACCTCATCTCCTCCTACTGCAGACCTCACACACCCATAGGCATTGAGGAGAGAGTCATCACATGAGATGACTTCTCCATTAAAGAGACGTTGGCTTTTCCGGTAGGCTGGGTACATTCCACTGGTAGCACAGTGGTTAAGCACTTAGCTGGCTGTCTGCTTCCATAAAGATGTGTCGGCTTGGAAACACTTTGTGGAAGTTCTATTCTGTTCAAATGGGTCATTTTGAGTCAAAATCTACTCAGTAGCAATGGGTTTGGTGTTTTGGTGTGAGTACGTCCCTGGCTTCAAGGCTCCAGGTGGCAGGAATACCCAGCCCCACCATGTCACCTGTGTCACATGAAAACCTGATGCAGAAGTCACATCTAGTCTTCAAAACCCTGAGAGAGCTCCCTCTCAGCATAATGCACTACTGTGCAGTATTCACATTTCTTTGCACACAAGGTCACCATATGTCAGAATCAACTGCAACTGGTAGCTGTGTTTCCTTTGACAGCTCCTTAGCCTAGAGCCAAGTGGAGCCATGATCGAAAAAGACAGATGGTGTGTGTGTAAATGAGCATGCATGCACATGTGTGTGTCTGAGTGTGTAAGGATATAACGTATGGTGAAAGTAGTGAGGAGAGGGCTAGCACATAGTCAGTGGGGGAAATGATGCGTGTCACCAGGATACAGATGGAAAAAGACTGGTAGGGTTAGAAGGATTGGCTATCTTCAAAAATCCATCTGAAAATGCATTTATTGACTTGTGTAAGGCAATTCTTCCTGCTGGACAATTCCTTGGGGTTAGGAACAGGGAAACACATGGCTTACTCTGATAAATTTCCAATCAGAGGAGAACTAAATGGGATTACTTTAGTACTACCACAAGACTAGGCTGAACACTGAGCTCTGAATGACCTCCCCTCTCCAATGCAAAGAGGACAGGAGGCTCAGGTGATACTGCAGGAAAATCTTCCCTAGACCTGGGTTTGTTGTTGTTCTTAAGTGCCGTCAAGTCAATTCTGACCCATAGCAACCCTGCATAAGGTTTCCAAGCATCTGGTGAGCTTGAACCACCAACCTTGCAGTTCAAATGGCTTTGCAGTCTGACGCATTAGCCCACAGTGCCACACTAGGACTCCTAGATGCAGGGGAAAGATGAGGCATTTTGCTCCTATAAAGATTTACAGCCTCGGAAACCCTGTACAGGGTCACTATGAGTCGGAACCAACTCCACGGTACTTAACAACAAGAACAACAAAAAGAAGAGAGATAAGAAAGATTGTGTAGGATTCTCCTTTGGAATCCCCTGGTGTGGCATGTAAGATAAATTCTGGACTGCTAACCATAAGGTTGGCAAATTAAAACCCACCAGCTGCTCCTCAGAAAACCTATACAGGGTAGCTGTGAGTCAGAATTGACTTGGCAGCACTTAACAACAACAACCAACCTACCAAATTAAAGGAAGTTAGGAAAAACAAGAAATGCTTTCATTATTCAAATCAATTTCCTTTTCACTCCATGCTATCAGCACCACCATTGTCCACTCCATTCTCTGGCCATGGAATGGGATCTTCCCCTACTGGGTGAGGTGTGAGTTTGATGGTCAGCACTGGTCTTTACAGGCTCTGCTCCAAGCTTTGGCATCTAGAAGTAAATCTTGTTTTACAGTGACATGCTCCCCCTAGAGGGGATTCTCCATGTAGAAGAGAAATCCTAGGGTTGCAGATCTCAACTCTTTTTTTCTTTCCTCCACATTCCAAGGGACAGACAAGTCTCCTTGTCTCACTAAGGGCAGAAAGATGAAAGTGGAGATTGGTGGGGGCCAGGAAGTTTGGGGAACCTCTTCAATGGCTCCTCATTCCAGTCACCGGACAAGAGTCTATCCTATCTTGCAGTCCAGGAGTGGAGGACCCTGGGACCATCAAGGGAGAAGGGCAGAGTGCAGGACCCTACCCAGAGAAGCAGCGACACCAGAGATGGAAGCAGTGATGATGACATGGAAAGATGGAGTGGCTGGGGACTCTACACTCAAAGAGAGAGAGAGACTGCGTGCTGATGGCCGGGGGGCAGGATTGCAGGGTGTGCCCTTTGGTTGTTTGAATGGTTATATATTCCTGAGTGCTTCGATGTACATAAAAAAAAAAAAAAAAAACCCAAAACAGAATGGAAGCAAATGCTGTTGAATGATGATGCATGAAGGGGGTTGTAATCATTGCAGAGAAATGAAATATGATAGGATGAATGGAAAGCTGATGTTCTCCCATGTAAACTATCACCCAATTCACAATAAAAACTTAAATTTTTTTTAAAAAATAGTATATCCTATATGACTTCCATTGAGTCACAAGGATGAATTCAAGTTTTCACTTCTCTATAGTGTTCACAAGGTCCCAGAACTTCAGAGCACAGCAAGAGGGCTCAAAATGTACTCCCTAAGTATGGGAGTTAGGTAGGTTGAATCTATGGCCCCACAAAAACCGAGGAGAGAGAAGTGGCTAAGGACTGTAAATTTGGAGAAGCTTTACCTTCTCTTGGGCTGCAGTATTCATCCAAGATAAGGAAAAGGAACTTCTCTAGGCTGTGCCCCAGAAGACAAACACAACGTGTAAGCAATGTGGAAGCATCCTTAACTTGATTTACTTCCACGCGTATTTACTGACCTCCTACTTTCCCTGGGCTCCAGGCTTGGTGCTGTAGCCTTCAAAGAGGAAATTTCTTCCCTCAAGGAGCTGGCAGGCTGGTGGAGAAGAGCTTCAGGTAAACAGATGGCTGGAATGAAGGGACTAATATAGCGAGGGATAGAGGGTCATGCTTTGGCAGAATAGAACCTGATTCACACATTCACACTTGAAACTCATTCATGTCTTCCAAAAGGAACTGTTACTTTCAGCAGAGAACTGAAAGATGACCTGGGCTATCAAATAAAGAACTGGTGGTTGGTGGAGAATTATTCTGGGCAAGAGCCTAGAGAAGAGATGCTCAACCTTGAAGATCCAGGGGCTCACTTATTAGCAGGTCTGGGAGATGTAGCTCTGTTATCTAAGCTAGAAGCAGGGAGTGTTACAAGCATTGAACACTTGGAACTAGACGCATTGTTGACTTCCAAGGGGACCTACACTAAGCAGTCAATTTATTTGCCATTGTTGTGAGAGGCCTACCTTTAATATTGAACGCTGCTATAATAGAAATACCACAAGTGGGCAGTTTTAACAAATTTATTCTCTCACAGTTTAGGAAGGTAGAAGTGCAAATTTCAAGTGCTAATTCAAGGGAATAGTTTCTCTTTTTGTCAGTTCTGGGGGAAGGTCCTTGCCTTCTGTCAGCACCTGTAGGTCCAGTATTCACTGGAGATCTCTCTGTGTATTGACATCAATCTCCCCCTGGATCTAGGAATTTCATAGTGCAAAGACCTCAGGTCCAAAAAACACACTCCACTCCCTGTTTTTATACCATGGTGGTAATAAGTTCCTCTGACCTCTGTTCAGTTCTCTCTCCTTTTATCCCTTATGAGTACAAGGTACTGCAAACTCCATCCTAGGGAAACTCCCATTATTTTAGATTGGGTCTGTGATGGGATTAAGGGATTTGCCTTCCAACACTTAATCCTTGACTGGTTTATCCCATCAGATCACATGATGGAGCATCATGACACATTTGCCACATTACATCATTACTGCCAAACCACTAGATAACATGTGTGTGAGCATAGCACTATTTTATATGGTTTTTAATGGCTGATTTTTCAGAAGTAGATCACCAGGCCTTTCTTCTTATGCACCTCTGGAAAATTGGTGAACTGAAACCTCCAAAATTTTAGTTAGTAGCTCAGTATGCTAAGCATTTGGATCATTCAGGGACTCTTTCACCATTGGTGGTGGTTATGTGCCATGAGTCAGTTCCACCTCATAGCGACCCTGTACAGGGTTTCCAAGGCTATAAATCTTTATGGGAGCAGAAAGCCTCATCTTTCTTCCATGGAACAGCTGGTAGTTTTGAACTGCTGACCTTGAGGATCATAGCCCAATTCATAACTGCAAGGGTAAAATCTATTTGGAAAAGTGGTTGTGAATATCCTGATTCAATATAAAGGATTGCCCTGGTGATGCAAACGG